CCGTTTAACTCGTTTCAAATATGCTTTCCTGAGGAACGTATGTCACAGTTAACAAATTAGCATGAGTGGGCATTCTTTCTCTCTCTCTCTCTCTCTCTCTCTCTCTCTCTCTCTCTCTCTCTCTCACACACACACACACACACACACACACACACACACAGAGTAATGTAGCAGTTGGCTTCCCTGGTTAACTAAAAAAGTCTCTCTCTAAATGGAATTAGCGAGCCTCCCCACCTAGAACTCACTGTAATGTCGAGAAGAGCTTTCTGTCAGTCTGTAGATCAGAGAAAGACCGGAAATAGACTTTATTTCTAATGAAAGGCATTGACCCTTGTCACTCCCCTTCCTTCTTTGGCGCTAGTACTGTGTATCATAAATCTTTGGGAATTTTTGGAACTTAGCATACTTTATAGCATTAATTCTGATGGTTTGACGCTCTGGAAATTTTTAATTGGGGCATGAAAGAAAATGTGAATAACATTCATTGTTTTATCCTATCGTGAAAAGTATAAAAATTCTTGTACAGAATATAAAAGGTACTCAATTTAGGGATGAGTTTGTTGTACATTTTGCATTCCTTTCCAGTTGTACTATTCGTGGGCATTTAAAGTTGACCTCTGCTATTGAAGTTGTGTGTGTCCTACAGACTTCATTGGGAACTGATGTATTTTTTTTCTGTTTCAAATACTATTAATTCAGGTCTGCTTCCATTTGGAGGGAGTTTGTTATGCTCTCGTGGTCAATTATTGGCTGTCAAGTGTGACTTGGTTTTCATTAAGCTTTTCTGTGGTTTTAGGGGTATACATGGTGATGCTTTTCCCCCTGAGAAATTTCTACGGTTCTCTTACCCTCACTGCTCTGAGTGACCTGTGTCACTGTGGACCAGGGATGGCCTACTTCTATAAGATGAACCAAGACCCACAACTTTTTGACCTTTGGGATCTTTCGCCACATCCCCCATTTCCAAGTGGAGACTGTCTTCATGACCAACTTCGTCAGTGGTGACTGTAGGTTAAGTGTGCGTCTCCCGGGAAGAAAGCACACAGGCATGCATCTGGGGACTTTGAGCTGGTTTACTTGACCTTTGCACTCCGGGGAGGGGAGGGGAAAGGCAGGAGGAAAGAGGGGAGGAG